CCCCTACCCCACCCCGACCCCCACCAGGCGTGATCCGCATGAGCCCCGCACTGCCAGGTAGGGGGCAGGAGCCACGCGGCCTCCGCAAAGGGCCCGACAGACTGAGGCACCGCAGCCGGCGCCCCCGCCCTTTGCCCTGTGGAGCACCCCTGCACGCTGCCACCTCGCTCCGTCGGCTTCACCAAGCTGGGGGCGGTGCGGGCCAGGCCACTCCTGGCTCAACACTCCTGCTTACTTTGTCCGCCACCCCCTCGCCCCCTGCGCGCACCAGGCCTGGTGGAGACATCCACCAACCTGGCGTCAGTCAAGCCCATCGGCTCCAGTGGCGGGCGCGCAGCCTACTCCATCATCAACACCACGCGCAGCAGCATCCCCGCCGCCCTGACGGCCGAGCGGTCTCGCATCGCCGCGCTGGCGCGCATGGCGGGGGCTGAGGTGCACCAGCCGGGGACCTACCCGGGGTGGGCACCCAACACGCGGTCGCCGCTGCTGGCGCTGACACAGGAGGTGCTGAGGAAGGTGCGCCCAATGGGGCGCAGTGAACGGCGGTGCTGAAACAGGTCTGGGCTCGCGAGGGCCTATGTAGAGGGCCGTTGCTTTGACTGCCGCCAGGCTAAGCGTAGTTTCTTGCTGACCCAGCCGTGGCACCGTGACGTGTCTTGTGCCGGCTGCGCCTCCCCCCCAGGCCTGCGGCCGCGAGCCCGAGGTCACCGCCATCCACGCCGGCCTGGTGGGTAGTGGGGCAATGAGGGGGCCAGGGAGGAGGGGCGCTGGGCCAACCAGCGGGGCAGCACAGCAGGGCGGTTGGGTCATTGGCCCCGGAGTGCCAGCCATTTGACCCGTGGTGGTGGTGCACCTCTCAATGCAATGCTTTGGCGTATGGATGGCGTGTGCCGGCCTGTTCCAGCGCTGCAGGCTCAGCCCAAAGAGCCTTTCCCACTGGACCCCCGCTCGCCCCCGCCCCCTGTCACGGCCCCTGCAGGAGTGTGGCGTGCTGGGCAGCGTGCTGGGGGGTGACGTGGACATGGTGTCGTACGGCCCCAACATATTCGGGGCGCACTCGCCCGCAGAGCGCCTGGAGGTGGCCACGGTGCAGCCCTTCTGGGAGGCCACCTTGACCCTGTTAGGAGAGCTTGCAAACAGGCGCTGAGGGCAGCGGGTTACAGGCTCGGCGACATGCGGCGAGGCACCCTGCTCAGCTTTACAGGCCAGCCATCACTGCAGTGTTTAGCATGCCGGCCACACTCTCTGTCTGTCATTTATTATGCCAGACGCTGCACCCCTTGAGCGCCGGCATGCTACCCCTGGTGACTGTCACTGCTTTGGTCGGTGACATGACACAGCTGGATGCTGTGACATTAGGGGCCTCACTTGACATGCGCGGGACAGTGCTCGCTGCGATCCAGATTGTTTTACAAGTTGCAGCCGCCACAATAGGTGGCCAGGATGGCCGATGACGGTGCGCACACACCGGGCATGCCGCGTGGCAGTGGGACTGATCATGCGCTGACTCTGGCACAAGGATTTTGCGCCAGCCATGCACATGTCACGCCCTCCTGCTCCCCCCCATCGTTGCCATCCTTGTAATCTACTGCCCGCTCCTATGTTGCGAGGTGACCCCCGTGGCCACCCAAGTCGGCAGGACTGGCGCATTGGTGGACCCGGTGCAAGCCGTGCCCCCGCGCACAAAGCGGCCTGGGCAAGAAGTAGAAAATGAGAGCGCACAAGCCAAGGGTCACCGCCGGCCAGTGTGCGTGCGGTGTGTGCGGTGGATTGAGGTGCGCTGCGCAAGCACTGGCCATAGGCCATGGCCTACGGAGGTGTGGCGGGTCCCCAAGCCCGGGCATGTGCTGTCTTGATTCAGTCTCAATGCGTGATGGGACTGCATCAGCAGGGGGCAAAGCAAGTAAAGTGACGGCAAAAGAATACAATTTAGTGGCGATTGCCGCCGTTGTTTTGCATGCGTAAAATGCAGACACGCCCACAGGGCGAATATGAGCGCAGGGCGCTACCACCGTGCCATCACAGGTGGTCGTGCACGCGCATGGCGGTCAAGAGCCCCCAACGCGCCACGCAGGCAGGCGCATGCCACATGATCCTGCACGTTGCTGGGCAGGGGTGGCCCTGTGGCTGACGCGTGTAAGTTGAAACTGGTGCGTGCGGAGTGGTGTGTGAATGTGGAGTTTGCAGCCGCACCAGCCAACCTGAACTCATCCAAGCCACACTGAGGCGTGGCTGTGGCAGGTAGGGTGGTGGTGGCTGGACACCAGAGGCAACGCAAGGGGCACGCTTGGACAAGTGCTCGATGCTATGGCGCGTTGACAGCAAACGAAACAGAAATGCGACAGGCTCCCCCGCATCAAGGGGCCCTTCCTGGTTTCAGGGGGACATGGGAGCCAGCGCCCCTCTTTAGTATAAGCTTTGGCACGGCAGCCCGTACCATGCTTGTCCAGCAGCGGCAGCCGCACGCCCTGTAAGGCGTGCCGTGGCGCCGCGTGGCTGGGGGTGGAGCGCAGCCTTGCAGAGACCCCTCACTTGGCGCCTGCGCGCGCCGCATGCGCAAGCGTGGTGGCGTGCTCGCCGTCCAGGCTCCATGTGGTGTGGCGTATGACCGCGTTGACGAGGTTGGCGCTGTTGAGCTGGGCGCGCAGGTTGGCGGCCTGGTGGCGCGGGGAGGTGCCGAGGCTGCTGCTGGTGCCCACAGATGAGCAGTCCGGAGCGAGCGCATGCAGCTTGAGCTTGTTGGTGTGGGGGCAGCGCACCACCTTGGCCTCATCGTTCACAAAGCCGTCCTGAGTGCAGGAGGAAGGGGGGGGGGGTGACGAGGCAAACGAGGGGATGCAGGAGCCTGGTGAGCAGGGGCTCTGAGGTGAAGGGACGCATCTCCAGCACGGCTGGCCATGTGGCCACAGCTCACGCACAGGATGTCACCTTGCCCCAGGCATTTGCTAGCCTGACACGCACATGTGCTTGCACCTGCCAGCCCCCGCAGCCCCCTGGCCAACGTTGCCCCACCCTGCAGCCTACCAGTGTGTCATCGACCTCGCTCTCTGTATTGAAGGGCCCCGCCAGGCGGCGGATGAGGCCGTCCCCCAGGTCGTAGATCACGCCCCACACGTGGAGCTCCTGGCCCTCGGCCCACGCCGACTGCACCACGGGACTCGTGCACACGTGGAAGACCTGCAGCACGAGCCAGGGGGTTGCGGCAGCCCGTGAGCATGCAGCCCACCATCGCTCTGACCAAGCAACCTGGACATGCCGCTGGCGCGCTACTCACCCTGCACCCAGGCGTGCTGCTGTTTTGCCACCTGTGCCGAACCGCAGCCGGTACCCAAGCTGTCAGCCGCAAGGCAGAGCCAGCACACGCCACACCTGGCGCAGCACGTTGAGCTCGCACAGCCGCGCCACGCGCTCGTCGGGGCTCAGGGCCGCCAGCTCACGCGCCGCCTGGTTGCGCGCCTCCCTGATGTCACTGATCCAGCAGTTGACCAGCCCCGGGGTGCGGGACGGCAGCTCCAGCGCCGCACGCACCGCGCCGCAGCCATAATGGCCGCAGACAATTACTGTCTTGACCTGGAGGCGAGCACGATGGGTGTCGTACGAAAATTCATGCCCGCGTGTGGGCCCCCGTGATGGCAGCGTGCGCACTTGCACGCACGCTGCTTTGGCAGCCGGTGCCATGGGCAGGCAAAAGTGCACCCGGTGCGATGCGCCTCCACTCACCCAGCCAGTGTGTTGGAGGACAGCATGCGCACTTGTCGACCCCCCTCCCTCCCCACGCGCCCCACCGTCCCCTCACAACCCCCGCCCACCTTGAGCGCCTTGACCGCGTACTCCAGGCAGGACATGAGGTTCATGTCGGTGTGCAGCGCCTGGTTGCCCACGTTGCGCTGCACAAAGATCTCACCGGGGGCAAGGCCCAGGATCTGATTGGCCTGCGGGGCAGTGGACAGCGGATGGTGATGAGCGCGGGGCGGGGCCCACTCACCGCTGCAAGCCTGTGGCATGGCAATTGCAATCCGATTATGGCTGCGCGCTGCTGGTCAAGGGCGAGCGGGGCCGCTGCGTGCAAGTGCGTACCGGGACACGGGAGTCTGAGCACCCGATCCAGAGGAACTCGGGGGACTGCTGATGGCTCAGGCGCTCGAAGAACTTGGGGTCGTCGTCACGCACTGACGTTGCCCACTGCCTGCGAAAGCATGATGCCGCGGCTGCTTGCTTGCAGGCAGTTGGTGATCAATGCGCGACAAATAACACCATAATGAAGCGTCGGTGCCATGCCGCACTACATCTCTGCCGCGTGGCTACGTAAGGCGTGACCGTCACATGTCCACGCTGACATACCGCTTCTCACTGCTGCGCAGCATGGGCACTTCACGGTGCATGGCGTAGGTGCACCGATGCAATACGGCTGCCCGTACGGTGCGCGATCCGCTCGTATTTGATGTTCAAGTATATCGAATGGGGCGGCTGCAGCTGTCTCTAGCAGCGACACGCCATGCAGACGTGCACAAGCCTTGAAAGCCTGCACCAGCCCGTAGCTCACCGGTTGGCCTCAAAAATCCTGTCAAGAGAGCTGTGATCGTAGGCCTCCACGCCGTCGTTGGAGCAGCCCCTGCTGCTCCTGCCTTGGCCCCTTCCGCAGCAGCACGCTCGGCCGTTGCCGTTCGCCTGAGGCTCATCATTCTCTGCATGCCGCGCCTCGTCAGAACCGCTCACGAGCCCCTTCGACTTGAGAAACCACACCATGGTCGTGGTCTGGGCTGAATATGGTCAGCAGGATGGATATAGTATGCCGAGCGTCTGCCCTGTGCGAGACCATGTGTGTGAGATAAGCGATCTTTCAGAACGATGTACATGGAGGTGCAATAACGCTGTGTCGAACCATGGATGACACGTTGCAAACCAGTACAACCCGCCTCCCTCAAATCTGCTTCGCACCTGAAATCTCTGTTTGTGATAAATTTTCGCATGTTTGACAATACAAGTACTCAGGAAAGACGGGATGTGCTTTGCATGTCACATCCTCAACTGCAAGCGCAGCTGCACCCCGCAGTGGGTCAAGGCTGGCTCACGCCTTCCTTGTGCGGTGGTTGCAGGCAATCTTGCAGCAACAAGCAAGCAGGCCTCCCAGGGCACAGGGCGGGCCATTGCATGGAGTCACAATCGCACTGCTCATCACGTGCTCCTTCCAGCCTCCTAGCTTTGGGTCTTCCGCCATCAAGCAAGAATGCAGTACGGGCTGCAGACCCGCCTGCAGGGGAGACACGTCATCACCTGCGCAGCAGTGCAAACAGGCTCGCTGTCCTGGTGACCTGGTCGTTGCTGCCTGCACCTCCACTGTCAGATGCTGGGAGCTGGTGGTCAGTAGTCTTGGGATCTCGAGGGGGGAGTTGCAAGTTTTGCGAGTGCTGGATGAAACGATGTGGATGTAGAGCAACGCGAGGGATTACAGGTGTCTTCTGTCCTCCACGACAGCATCTGTTTTGTCACATTTCAAGTCAATGCTGCAAAGCTGGGACCCACAGGGCGGTTACAGGTTTGAACGCCACATCTGCCCAGGACATCAGCTACAAGGTGCAACTGCTGTCCGGGTCAGACTGAATTATCACCTCCCACATGTCCCCTCTGCATGGGCAAAGGATTGGTCCTTAACAGCAGTGACCGCTAGGCTCGCTCGCTGTGAATGTGGGCTTGCAGGACACATTTTATAGGCATGGAGCTCAGGCCATATGTACAAGTCCCTGTTCTCTCAGTTTGAAACCGCTCAAATGGGTGCGTCCATGCAGTCGCTCTGAACGCTACCTGTGACGCACACGCCTCTCAAAAACCGACATGGACGCAGCGCTTCTCTCCCACTTGCTGGTCTGTGCACTGTGTGTTGGTGCTTTGGGTACACAACAATTGAAAGCTCTTCACGCAGCCACTGTCACGGGCGTCCGCACGAGGGCCTTGATTGTGTCGACCACAGCCTGCCTGTTGGCGTTGACCCACTTCACGCGCTTGGCGTAGGAGCCCGCCCTGCTGGTGAGGCTCTCCAGGCCGTCCTCACCCGCGTAGGCGCGGCCTGTGAAGTAGATCTGGGGCAAAGGGCGGGGGGGGGGGAGGCTGATGGTTCAGGGGACGCGGACGTGGCAGGTGTCTGGGTGCAGGAGCTGTTTGTTGGGGATGTTTGTATCGCCATATCAGTGTCCTGTGCAGCAAGATTTTTGCCTCGCGTTTCCCCATAGGGAGTGCTGCTCGCCAGTCTCAGGAGCCGCTGCGATGAAGTGAATCAGGCACACCTCGTGGGCTCCGCCATGTGCCCTTTGACTCCCTGGCTTCTCTCTTGCACCCTCTTGACTCCCTTGCGTGTACCTTGCAATACTCACCACGTTGGAGAAGATTCGGAGGTTGATGAGGTCTGGCAGTATGTCGACCTCGGTGTCATTCAGCTGCCCGTTGACCGCGTAGCCGCTGCGGCCAGGTTTACAGGTGCGCGGCAGCGGGGGTTAAACAGGGTGAGGCAAGGCACTGGGTCCACAAGTTCAGCTCCCCCCCTAAAAGCTTGCTATTCCCCTTTGCATGCAGATATAGCTCAGCCGGAGCAGCAATTGAAAGTATGGCGGCGCAGCTGCATCCCCAGCCACCCCTCGCTGAATTGCATGCGTGCTTTGTGCTGAATACAAACTGCCCGATTTGCCCCACCTGACAAACTCTGAGATGAGGGGCAGCGGGTCGTCCTCGCCCACGTACTTGGAGAGGGCCACCGCCAGCTCCATGCTCCGCCAGTCATAAGCACAGAACTGGGGGTGGGGGGGGGATTGAGGGCGTCGAGTGGGGGGCTGGGTTGGGCTGATGCGGAAAACAGTAAGCGTGGCGTTGGGTGGCAGGATGCACCAAGGTTGGGGCAGGCTGTGAGTCTCAGTGCCAACTTTCTCTGAGGGCAACCCCGGGCGTCTGGTCAATCTGTTGCGCGGCTGGGATTGCCAAGGCGCAAATGTGGCCGGTGCGCGCGGCAAATGTCATGTGTCGGCGCCCACCTCAAAATCCAGCAGCCCGGACACGCTGTCTCCCAAGGTCAGCACGTTGTCGTACTGCAATGGACATCAGAAAGGTGGACAAAAGAGCTGAGGTGGCGCAGGCATGAATGCTTGTATAGGACTGAGGTCAGAGCGCTGAGCACAACACAGCCCCGGTTGCTGCAGCATTGATGTTACCACATCTGAGCCCTACAT